TAAGATTACTTTTAATAATCCATTCTAAAAAATAAATCATTTGATACTAAACTAGAGTGAATAGATAATATTGTTCAGAACATGAATGACAGTGTACCCGTCATGGTGTCTCCTCCCTTGTACGGCAGCGAGCTGACGGCCTGCAGCAGCGCCGCCCGTGTCAGGTATCTGTTCAGGTTGAACTCAGTTCTGGCGTCGCTGCCAAACTGCACCACACCAACACGGGACTTGTCCTGTCCGATCTGAAAGGCTCCGGCCGCCGCCGAGATGAAGTTGCGGATGTATTTGAAGTTCGGTCGGCCCACGCTCCAGGAGCCGTCCACCAAAAACACAAGATCAGCGATGGCACTCACAGAGCATTCTGGGAAAAAGTATAAAATAAAAGTCAAAGATAAAAGAACAGACAGGAAAAGTAAAGACATGTCGGTCACTGGTTAACCATCATTGGTCTGGACCATCAGATCCATTCCCAAAAACTTTGGCATAGAAGGAAACAACTGGTGATTCAAAGTTGGGAGTTTTGTATTTCATAGAAGAAATTCACTAGATTCTATCTGAGAATTTATGGCACTTTTATTTGCCAAATATTAAATATCAAATATTAATGAAAATGTAAACACCAAACACAAATATTGTTGAAATAATTATTTAACTAAGACAATTACTAGAAGCATAGTAGCGGAGTGGAAAAGTTGTTCTGGACAAGTTGTTGGAAAAGACGGAACATGTTCAGAGTTGATTGTTTAATTTCATGAAAGCTCTGTTTTACTCAAGATGAACGTCTGAACAGTTTTCCAAATGATCCTGTTGAGTGTAAAACTCTTTAATCATCAATTCAGAATCTTTAAACAAGTAGAAGTAGATGGCGCTCTGCTCTGCACTGCTTTCTGGGAGTTTCTTCTGACTTTTCTCCCATGAAAAGAAGGAAAATTCAGCACAAGCTCGTCATCCTGTGCAGAGCAGAGCCAGGGCGGCAGCAGCAGCGCTCTTGTAAATCAGCATCTGTAATGGTTTCCACTTCCCTCAGCACTTCAGGGCTGGGCTTCTCTCCGCTCGCTCCCCCAGCTACAGCAGCAGCTCCCGCCCCACCCACGACCTCCCCCAGTGAGCGTGAGCAGCTTCCTTCACACTGGCATAATTGGCCGGCAGGGGACCAAAGCGATGACCGAATACTAAGATTTATGGGGCCTAATTTTGATTATTGCTGTACAATGGGTGTTGTGTGGTTGGAGCCTCCCTTTGCTGCTGAGCTCAGGCTAATGGACGCCGCCCAGCAGCGAAGGAGAAAGAACAAGAAGTGGAAAAGTGGAGGAGGTACCAGGGAGTGAAAACCTTTGTCATATTAAGGTTTAAGATAAATGAAGGGATGGATCAGACTTACTGACTGATTCTGAAGGGTCTGGCATCCTGGACGGACCTCTGCCACCGGACTGAACTGAAAGACAATAAAACATGTAAAAATTAGAGACAAGCAGAAACCCCTTAATGCTCATGTAACGTCACATTATGAACCATTTTCTGTCAGGAACTGTCTCGGTTTCTCTTCAACACTTCTCAACTTGGACCAAAACTCGTCTTTTGTTTGTTTGTTTCCAATGCTTGACATTTTTTCTCCGCAGCGTCTCCTCCTCACAGAGCAACCCATCAGTTTCACCGAGCAGAACGAGTTCCCACACGGTGAAAGTGATGGGTTGACGTCTGCAACGTTTGACAGATTTCCAGGGAATCTCAGAGGGTTTGTCAGATCGTCAGCGCCCAGGCCAGAAAGACGTCCCCATCAAAGTGCTGCCATAGTATTACTGAAGATTAGACTCACTGCTGGAAATCTGGATCACAGCTCATCAAGTGCTAGACCTCAAATTGAAGCACACAGGTGTCTTAACCTGCTGCAACTGTTCGTGACTTTCTTTGTTTCATCTGTCTTCTGTCTTAACCTGTCTTCTGTGTAATAACAAAACATATTTCTGTCATGTTGTCTTGTTATTATTTGAATTTCATGCCCTCTGTGATGAAGCTAAGAATATCTCCACCAGGAGCATTTCATAACTTTTCTGGAGACGTTACAGTCGTCATAGTTTAAAGACTTCTCATCTGTGTTGGCATAAAATCATAATTTTTCCTTAAAAAATCTAAAATAAGTCTTACGGTTACTTTAGATTAGATTAAATTTTACTGCTCGAGTCTAAAACAATGGGGTTTTTTTTTGTCCACACACAGTTTCAGACCACAGGAAACACTTCACAGCTGGATTTTGTTTTTCATGACTGGCTCCCTGCCGCAGAATTACTGAAATCTGTCTCGTCAGGCTTCCAGTCGACAGCTTGCAAACTCTGGCATTGTTAAAAAACTGGCTTAAGCTATTTTCACAGGGGCTTTGGTAAAACTGTTGTTTACAGCTGTTTCTAAGTGACACAACAATCCTAAATCTTACAACCAACCCCAAAAAATCTGCTTTCAAAAGTGGGATTTTGAACATCCACAGTTCAAAAGTTGCAGAACAGTCACTCGTGACTTCTTAATGTGAACCCTGTGGTGATCTGCTTTCTCAGCCTAATGATTATTTGAATAAATACAATAATTTCTCATCCTGAAGTTCAATATAAAACCAAAATAAAGAAGCGTCCAGAGGTTGGACTCAGCGACAGAGGAAACATCTCTATGTTCAGACTTTTATTCGATCTATAGATGTTCCTCTTATTTCCTCACTGGAGGTTTCAGGTGTCTGGGTTTCGGACTGAAGTAGATGTTTGGTGCCGAACACAAACACAGACCGACGCTCACGGTGACTCACGTGTGATCTGGCCGGAGATGGGCAGACTCTCCTCCGATCCGGCGTACGATGATATCGTTACAACATACCCCACATCTGGACTCAGGTTTGAGATGGACGTCTTAGTCGCAGATGCAGGCAGCGTAAATTCTTTTGTTGGTTCTTCTGCAAGAATGCACAAAGTCAGAGGGAAGCCATTAGGAAAATATTGCATTACTTCATTTCTCCAAGAGTCAGAACAGGGCATCAGACGAACCTCATTCAGACTGTTGACCCGAGGACTGGAAGATCCGTAAACACACGACGGTTTGATTTAATCTAATGAAAACTTTCCGCATTACTATGAATTACTACAAAACACATGGTTTTAACCCTTAAATACCTTCAAACCTTCCATGAAGTCAAATTATTATTTACCTCAAATGACACAACTTGAAATGCTCAGCGTTGTTGAATGGATTCATAGATGTGTGGATTAAAAGATTCATATTCACAAAGTCTCTATAATATATATCAATAAATCAGAATTATGTTGTGGTTTGAGTTAGTAACTAGTACAATTATCTAACTCAAGCTAACGTCAGTACTAGTTAGTGAACTAGTTAGGTTTACTAACCGTACACTTGGTAGTTGTTGAATTATCCACAAGCTAACAATGATACTGTTGGTTAGCTAGTTAGGTTAACTCACTGCACGAAGCAGATACAGCTGCTCGCTATCGGATAAAATATGCAAGCTAGCGTCAGTTCTGTCAGTTAGCTAGCATGATAAATTAACAATTTATAGGTAGTGACTTAAAAATGAGAGCTAAGTGCTGCTAGTGAGCTAGTTTGGTTAAATAACTGTACACAGCAGTTACAACTAGTCACGCTAACGTCAGGTCTATGAGTCAGCTAGCCAGGTTAGCTAACTTTACTCAGTTACACGTGGTGGTTATCGAATCAGAACTTGAACGCTGAAACCTGATGTTTATGAACTAATCATGGAAACAAACTTCATGAAGTTAAAGTAAAATATTTAAGCTAGCAGAAAACGTTGGTATTTAGGCCCAGCGTGAAAGAGTTCTGCGATACAGATAATTATTAAAGCTCAGTCACTCCTCCATGTTGGTGGACGGCAGCACATCTGACGATTACTTGAATCGAAGCATAACGTTTTTCAGCAGCGAGCCCAGACACAGGCGAGTGTGCAGGAGTCTGCAGGTAATTGCAGGGAGTGTTGATGAGCTGCACGACAGCTGAGCTGTTCCGGCTCTGCAGGACGCAACTCGCAGGTTTAACGAGCACCCACCTGTTTCTGAGGTCACTTGTATTCTGTAGCCCTGTATCCTGGACCTGGGTCTGCTCCAGATCATCTGCACCGTGTTCTCGTTTAAAATCTTAAACCTCAAATCTGAGGGAGGGTCGACTGTGAAGAGAAGACATCCCCACAGTTACTCCTGCAGCTCCACACTCTGCATGTACGCAAATGAAAGAAGGATTTTTCCCAACAGTCAACACTTCAGGCTGAAGTTCGACAAGTTCACTGTTGGAGGAAACCACACGACATTCTACAGATGTTAGGGAAGCCATTTTGGACACGTGAAAAATGACTTCCGTTTGAGTTTGCGCGGTCAGAGTCGACCACAGTGAACAACTCAAGACAACAAACACAACAACGTTAGATCCTACAACAGGACACAATCACAAACAGGGCGGGAAGATACGAACTTTGAGCTGTAAATACTGGTGAATACCACTGGATTCTAAACACTACTCAGATGTGCAGTATTTTTAAAAACTCAAATGAAACGGCTTTGGGAGTAAAAAGTCAAAGTACACTTTTTATTTTCAGATTCAAAAGTGACCAGTTGTATAAACACTGGATGAATGATTAAATGTTTTAATGACTTCATGGGAGTTTCTCAAAAATGGGATTGAAACCAGACTCATTCAGACGGATGGTTTTAAAATAACAAAGTGAACTTGAAGTATTTGTCTAGAAAACGTGGCTCTCTGACTGTCGCATTGGTAGATTTTTTTTTTTTTTACATTTTGAGAATCGGCCTCTTGTTGAGAATGTCAAAGTTTCCCACCCTGTCGACAAAGTGAAACATGGACTGGTCGGCGTCCAGCGGACCGTCCATGACCTCAATCCAACTCATTACGTTGAATTGACAAACAAACACAAACCACACAAATCTGCTAAAGTCTCCAGTATTTTGATTATACAATGGATGAAGAGCCGAGTGACCGCCGTCATCGTCTCCATTGCAAACCTCATAAAAGAATACACGTGTCGGTTAAAACACGTGTACATCTTTTCCTGTTTACCAATAAGTTGCACCAGAGGTTCCTAAACTGATTTAGCTCCAGATCCACGATTGAATCATCACTGAAACAACCCAGCTGAAACAGTGAAGCTTCAGATTCCAGGATCTGGGCCGTAGTTTACAGAACCTCTGGTTCTGGTGATGGAAACCAACAAACAGGTCAAAGTTGAATCGTGATCCCTGACGTGGAAGATCATGCACGTGTACATTAAAAGTTGTTTTTAACAACTTGGAGTAACGGACAAAAAGTTTCCATGTACACAAGGGACCAGACATGATTTCTGTATAAATATTTTAAAATGATATTCTTCAGGTTGGGGTGGAACTAAATATTAAAGACTAATAAAAATAACACAGAGCATGAACATGGAAATCTAGCTTGCTGCAACGCAACGGTTATTTTTAATGCTACTTTATTGGCTACACGGGATAAAATAACTTTTAATATAATATACTAATAAAAACACTTCCATTCCCACAAACTGGCTTGCTCTACATGTATATGATGGTTGTTATCAGAGTCAGAGCGCCCTCCTCTGGTCTCGATGTGCTAGACTTTTCTTTAAACCACATACATTTTTTAACATGACGAAACTGAATCATTAAACTTGAGCAAACACGTTAATCTTTTCATGCTGGAGGAACGTTATCGTTATCATCAATTCATACTGACGACGCACAGAACGGAGCTAAACTTACTAAATCAAACAGAACGTAAATCACATCACAGTCGATTCTAGCTGGAGTTTGAAGATTGGGACTCTAGATCACCACCAACCAGAGTGAGTGAAGAATATCACTGTAAAATATTGTCGTGAAGCCCAGACTCTGGGTCAAGGCTTGACTGAGAAGTGTGACAGGACGTCAAAAGTGTAGGAACCACCAACCTGGTGAATCATATCAAGGCCGCGGCTGCTGCTTCAGTTTCCGAGCCAAAACTACCTCAAAGAAAAAACCTCCAGATCTTAATCCAGAGGAAAACGCCCACGCACACTATTCAGACTTTGTTTGAACTTCTCGTCTTCGGCTCTAAAGTTTTTATTCGTCATTGTTCGCCTCACACCGTTTAGAGTCGAGCTCTTCCTGCTCCGAGGGTTTTCCTCTTCGAGGTGTTCGAGGCTTCAGCTCCGGCCCCGACATGTTTAACTACACACGGTATAGAATATATACGACACCGTTACAATGCTGATGTGGCCCCTGGAGAGGAGGAGGGGGCCCCTGCTGGGACATTAAAGTGTGTGTGTGTGGGGGNGGGGGGGGGGGGGGGGGGGGTCACAGGAGGTTAGAAACTCTCCTGGAGGGACGAGGAGTTTTTACTACACTGACACTTTTTAAAACTTTATTCTGAGAGAAAATCCAGAGGCACCGTGGAGCAGATCCTCTCCCGTCGTAACCTCTGGAAAATAATGTGAAACTCATATTTTATCTTTCCATCAGGAGAAAAGAAGGAGGGAGGAAACTTGGCCTGGTGCCATCTGGGTTTCTGTCTCTCTTTTGAAACTTGGAGTTTCTACAGTGAGACAGGCGGGCTTCTGAACAAGGGCGCCTCCTGGTGTCAGAAAGCTCGAACTACATGTCTGAGGATCAGGGACATTTACAGTATGTCTGGCTCTACAGGGTCACATGGTACACAGCAGCAGCTCGATGACTTGAGACATGTTGTGAACTGAAGAATCATTTTCAACATGTTATGACTCAGAGATTCTTAAAGCAGCATTTAACTCTACATCTGTTTTTTCATCGTCGTGGTGTCTGACTTGCTTTCGTGCTGTTTGTAAAACAAATGTCAGTGGTTTGGACAAAAAGCTCAAATCCATCAATTCAAACCAGACACGTGCAGCCGAGACGAAGAGATCCTGAGAACTGCTGCTGGAAACTGGAAGGAATCAAACGTTAGAGGCTGAAAAGACAAATACCTGTTAAGACAAATCAATTCACCAACACACACGTTTGCTTTTGCATTTGTGATTTCTTTATTCAGACTAGATGTGCAGCTGCACTTTGCAGACAGAGAGAAGAGGAGAGAGGAGCTGAGGAGAGAGGAGCTGAGGAGATTGGAGCTGAGGAGAGAGGAGCTGAGGTCAGATGTGTTGGATCGTATGGTGAGGAAGAGGAGGATGAGCTTTACCTGTGTCCTGGGCCTGGGAGGAGGAGGAGGAGGACAGCAGCAGCAGCAGCAGCGCCGGGAGGGCAGCCACCGCCAGAGACAACCTGCTCTTCATCTTCAGCTCCTCTGGCTCAGCAGCGCATGAATGAGGCTGCGAGAGGAACGAAGGAGGCGGTTAGAGCTTCAGTGTGAGCACCGGCACGAGCACCGGCACGAGCACCGGGGATTCACGGTGACTTCACGCAGAGCCGGAGGGGAACCCCGGGGCTCCTTCACTAATCTACCGTCACACGGAACCAGAACACGAAGCTTTCAATGCGGGATTTAAAAAAAAAAGACATAGTTCCACAATACTGGAAAAAGTACAACATTATAGATTTCACATGTATGAAACAAATCCACAACTTTACAACCAACAACCAATAATCTGTGTCAACTTAATGGAAACGGGACAAAGCAGCTGCTTCTCTCTGCTTTATCAAAGCATGAATGACACTGACAGTGGTCCGATCCAGAATCTACTGCTTCAGCTGAGACAAAGTCTTTCCACAGCTCAGGATGAACCAGCATCAACCTCTGGCCCCGTGCGCAATTACGCAGCGCAAAGCAAGAAATAGTCCACACGTTTCTGGGAATATTCCGAATAAAATGGGCTTGAAACCGAGATAATTGAGATAATTAACACAAGAGAAACTATTCCTCTAATTAATTAAATTCACTTTATGCGCCTGGAGCTCAAATGATTAAAACTGCAGAAAACCATGCATCACTGACCTAGAGAGGAGACTGGAGGAATTCTTTGGTTTGGTTTTAAAAAACGAGGATGAGAAAGGATTAAATCTCTGTTGCAGACCCCGGGCCAGAGGACAGGAGCGGGAGGTGGTCTGGTGCTGAAGTCAGGCAGCTCTGTGGGGTGTTGGTGCCCAGACGCGTCGGTGAGCCTCTTTCCAAGTGGGAAGCTCCGTCCACACAATCTGCTTCTTAACAGGGGGGCTGCTCCCAGCTCGGGCCCCGCCGCCAGCTCTTACGACACACAGCTAAAAAAAATGATGTGTAACCACCTCTGGAGGAGCAGGGAGACACACACACACACACACACACACACAGGGAGCAGCACGGACACACAACACTCGGAAACTTTTAGGCTACATAGTTTTCTACATTCCTTTCCGGTGATGGAGGAACTTCTGTGCGTCTCGGCCACAAAGACCCAGCAGCGCAGGTCTGCTTTTCGGGAAGAGGGGATGAGAGGGGGGGGCGTCAGAGCTTTTTACCCCTTTTTCATTTCGTGAATCAACGGGAAAATATTACACAGTCAAGTGAAGTCAACCTCAACTCAGTCTTTCCCCTTTTCATGCATCCTTCCAGTTTCCAGGGACGGAGCTGAGGTTTCTGGGGTCCTCAGCAGGATGTCATGAAAGTAGACCGGTTAATTATAATCACATGTCATCACAACCTCCACATTCATTTAACATATTCCACTTTTTACAGGCTTCTAATTCTCTAATGTTTAAAACCAACAGTCCACATCCATCAAACATTACTTCATCCAAACTCCTGCAGCCCCCCCACATCCCCACATCCCCAGAGCAAACCTGTGGGTGGGTTCAATCTTTTATCTTTGAACATTTACGTGTTTCTGGAGCTTTCAAACCCAAAGATCTGTTGTATGAAGAAACAAGTGCATGAATATTTCTGAATCCACCTGATCTCATAATGACCAGATGCCTTCTCACCACAGACTCTCCATCTGTGTTAGTCACAAGTTGATTTTCTGGTAACTGCTGGTAACTTCACCCAGAGTCATCATCTTAACTCTCTTCAAGTCCATCAAAACAACTTTTTACAGCTCAGCGGAGCACAACATGTCCCAGACATTTCATTTTTAGAATCCCACAATTTGTGGCATTTGTTCAACATCTGCAAATCTAGTAAACCAACACACACAACCTGAGAGGATGAATATTTAGCGGAGCACCATCAAAAATCAGCTCGTTGATAAATCCAACATTGGGATACATTTTTCAAAAACCCACAAAATTCCGAGTCGTCCACCAAACATCCAAACTTGTTGCCATAGCTACTTACAAAAATTCAACATTTCGCAAACTTCCAACCAGCATTTTTAGAAAAGCATGAATGTGAATATTGTCAGAGCACTTGGCGCCCCCTGGTGTTATTAAATACATTTTACATAACTTCACAAAATCCTCCATTTAATATTTGCTGTTCTGGTTGTCAGGTAACGGGACCGTCCTCCTCAGAACTGGATCAGTGTTGGTTTTCGAGCGTGAACGAGAAGCCGAGGATCATCTCATTACTTATGTTAAATGATCTGTGGTGGGCGTGAACCCATCGGAGAACAGGCCCGAGGGTTTCTCCTTCCACACCCAGAGTTAAATTAGAGGAGAGAGAAGAACCCCCCCCCCCGACAGACCATTGAGAAGATTAACGAGAGGAATCTGACTGAATTCAAATCTGTTTGGTTCTGAGCACAGCAGCAGAACTAATGACAGGATGTAATTTCATTACTAACGTCCGGACGTGTTTCAGATGCTTGGACACTCTGGAGAGTTCAGTGCTGGTTTCTTTGTAAACGTCGCCCTCCAGTGACTAAGACTTGAACGTTCACACAGGAAAACACAGGAGGAGAAAAACCTGCTGACGTTTGAGTTAAATATTAGTTTTCATGTCTGAGATCATTGAACGTCTTTGCATCAGGGTGAAGACAGAAGCTGCACCGACACGTCCAGCTCAGGTTCGTGGAGGTTTCATTACATTGAAAGTGCAGCTGGAGTTTCCACCAGTTGATGAAGACGGAGAAAACCTGACTGAGCTTCAGTCTGGAGTCGCACAAGTGGGTGAACTGACCCTTTAAATTCTGTAGAACTGAGCAGCTCTGAGTTCGTTAACATTTCAGTTTTCACTGGCTCCACTTCCTGTTGGAGGAACGGGCCCAGTGAAAAATCCTGCTTTGATTTCCTGACTTCCTGGTTGCTGGGAGACTCCGCCTACTCATGATGGCTGACTCGCCGCACCTGCAACGCCGAGTATAAAAACCAGAGTGCATGAACCTGTTCTCCTCTTCTCCCTGGTCGCCCGAGCTCCTGCTCCTTGTGTGTACTTTTTGCTCCACACAACACAAGCTACACACACACACACTGACTGACCCTCACACTCACACATAACAAATGTGGGCTCGTCTGTTTGTGTAACATCCTGGAAGTTGTGGTCGGTGTTTTTGCTGAAGCTCAGTAACGAGTGTTGGGAGGACTCATGGCAGCTTGTTGCTCTGGTTTCTGGGTAATTGGTTTCCTGGTATCTCGGAGGGGTTGATTAGGGGTGAGAGTGACTACACCCTGGTGTCTGTGATGTCTGTGAGCATTGAGGTAACTGAAGTGTTTTCTTCAACACGGTGCTCGTTCAGTGTTTGGCTGCAGGAGGGCGGTGGCTGTAGCAGGAGTTGTTTATAAGGAGGGATTGTTGAGTTTGTTCTTTTCAGGGCTTCTTTGTTATTTGTGTGTTTCGTCCATGTGGTTAGCAGCAGTTGTCTCGGCGGAACCATCTGTAGCATCGGCCGGAGCAGTTAGCCTTCCCCGATGCGAGCGGGTTTAAAGGGCCCATGTTGTTCACCTTTAATTTGAGGTATTGGTTCCACCAGGAACACCTGCCTCATTATTTATTTATGAGCCCCTCCTCTAATTGGCTGACTGCACCCTGAGTGACACGTGACCAGGCCAATCACCTGAAGCCTGTTGGAGACCTACGGTACTGCTCGCTGATTGGCTGCAGAAGAAGAATGGTGACGACCACAGCTGAGGGTCACGTTGTGATGTTGTGATGCAGCTGTGGACCAGCCACTCATTCAGCGTGTAACAGGATTTCTCTGACGGTGAGTTACACCGTCTCATGTTTGTTCAAGTTGTAGAAGGACAGTCAGCCGAAGAAGAGTGAGTCCAGAGTTACAGTCTCGAGTTAGAGGACGTGGTAACGTACGAGTAACGTTTCAGTAGAAATATGTTGAGTGAGTGTCGTCACTAAACCAGATTGTTACCCAGTACCACGGGTTGAAGATCGTGTTGGTGAAGGCAAGATTTGTTGAAGCTGGATCTTTTGAAGGGTTATTGACAAGTACCACTGAGATCTGTGCTTTAATTCCACTGGGGGCTGTTTTCAGTGTCACGACGTTCGTGTTGTCGAACGCTCCGGCCACATTCCAGCACCTGATGAAGAATGTTCGTTAGTGCTTTCTGGATGTAATGCATGATTAGATGATGTGTTCAGTGTCTCAAGGCTGCTAGAGGCCGATCTGACAATGAACTGAATGTGAGCTTCCTGAGGCCACAGTGACTTATCTGGGTTCGGTTGTGTACGCCCCCCGTCAGGGTCAAAGCTGAGGCTGTGGATAAAAACCCAGTGTCAACGACAACGAGAGCTGGGGAGGTTTGGTGTTGGTATGAGAGACTCCGCCTACTCATGATTGCTGACTCACTGCTCCACATTTAAAACAGTTTGTTAAAGTATTAAAACACAGACAATCCAGTTCTGGTCATGAGATTGTTTTTATTGATCCACAAGTCATCAGAGAGAGTACAAGAAATAAATATTGATCCCATTAACATGAAACAATATCCCACCACGACTGGAAATGCACGGCTCGACACGTGAGGAGGAGCATCTTGGTTTTTGTGTTTTTACATTTTTAAATATAATATAGAGCGGCAGGCCGGAAACAAACAGCTGGAACAGTGGAGTCACTATTTCTTCTGAGGGACCGCTGCCTTCCACAGTTCATACAGAACAAATCCAGTTCCTGGAAGAAAACACGGCGGGTTAGAAAGACGCGAGATGCAACGCGAGATAACGAGGTTGAGTCTGATGATCGTGAAACAGAACTCTGCTCTAACACAGCAACAGTGAAATGAAAACTGTGATTCAGGGAAACGGCACAAAAACTACTTTTCTGTTGATGAAGTTCATTTTAATCTTCACTTCATTTTAGCTGCTGTAGTTTAGTTGCTTCTTGCTCATGTGGTGAAATATCTAGAAAGAAGTCAGAGTCTCACCCAACACACTGAGTGTCATGGTTGCTCTGTACAGCAGAGCGTCACTCATGCCTCCTTTTAAATGAACCGGCAGCCCGTCGTCCTCCTGCAGGAGAGAAACAGGACGGAAACATTAGAGGAGCAACAACCGACATTTCAGCAACGTGAAGGAAACCAGGAGGTAACACAACCCCAGATATCAGATGTGATGACGCTGTGTGCTGCTGGTTCACCTGTCACTACACACACCGTGATACAACCAGAGACTGAAACACAACATGAACTCAGGTCATCAGTATCATCTCCACTATAATTCATTTCAATCAAACTACAGCTCCACCAGAGTTCAGAGAGAGACGACCAGTAAAACACGTCTGCACCTGGAACCTGGATGAGAGGAGTTCTTCTTCTTCTTCTTTACTGTGACCTCTGGACTCAACCACTGACTCACATCATCTGACTTGTTGACCTGAGATCAAATCTGAAAGTCTTTGTTGTGTTGTCTTCGTGTCAGTGTTTCTACTGTGTCTCTACAGTCTTTCTATAGTGTCTCTGCTGTGTCTCCACAGTGTCTCCACCGTGTCTCTACAGTCATTCTACAGTGTCTCTGCTGTGTCTCCACAGTGTCTCTACAGTGTCTCTACAGTCTTTCTACAGTGTCTCTACAGTGTCTCTGCTGTGTCTCTACAGTGTCTCTGCTGTGTCTCTGCTGTGTCTCTGCTGTATCTCTACAGTGTCTCTGCTGTATCTCTACAGTGTCTCTACAGTGTCTCTACAGTGTCTCACGGGACAGGAGCGTGTATCGATGCGGTTCACGGAGCTCTGACCTGAAAAATCTTCT